AAAATATAATCTTTATTCAGATATATATAAAATGTATGCTAAGCTGTAATTAATACCTATTGGAGTGGAATGTACTGCGCACAACAGTATGACTGGATACCATTACAATTATTTACCTTACATCCAAATGGTTAATAACACCAGACCAGATCAAATACCATACCGTTTTAGATGACATTACGGCATAAAGAAGACTCTGTAGTTTGATCATAAGCCTATCAGATGGAATATATAATCTCTATTAAGGAAATGGAGTTACCCCATGGACAAAGACTAATTAGATAGTATAAATATCTTGCTACAGATATGTAATACGGGTACACTCATCCATGGGCCTTAATGTCAGCCTCTCATGGACAAGCCCCATATATCACCATATCCAGTCAAAAATACCTCAATATCTCGAGGAATGCAAATGATGCATTATAAAGCGCAGTACAGACCACTCCAAAACAGTGGAGGAGGGAGAGGAGTAAATACCATGTGCATTTAACCTCCCTAGTGGTATTCCTGAGTGTAGCTCGGGGTAAAATTCCCCGCAGCACTTACCTTGTCCTTCGCTCCCGCGATGTGTCCCCTGCAGAGTCCCCGGCCATCTCCTCCGGCCGATGATGCCGGCATCCGGCTTCTGTGTTCTGGTCCCTGTGACGTCGGGACGTTCCGGCGGCAAATTTGAAATTTTTAAAAAATGTCATTTTTGCTGTCATTGCTGTTTCAATGCATTTCACATATATTTTGTCCCTACTGCTTTGTCCTGTGCCCTGCCTGCATTTTGACTGTTCTTTCTGCCTGGAAACTTAGAAAAGTCCATGGCGTCCAAAAAGCGTCCCTTTACGTCAAAAGCGGTTTTAGAACAGCGATAGTAAATCAGAACCACTTGCAGAATTGAGTGATAATGATTTGTGGGGAAATTTGTCATGAGACACTGAAAACGATTTGCCACTTTGCTCAGCGATGTGCGAATTTGCCTCTGTATTTCAAATTTCAGTGTTTTTGGTTTGATTATATTATTGAATTAAATTTATTATTATTATATTATTATTTTTTATGATTATTTATTAAATTATAATTTATGATTTCGTGTTTCAAATTTTATCATACCCGGAATGTTTAATAGACTCTTGTTCGTACAGATTTCAGTGAGTTATTCCTAAAAATTACAGCCTACAATAAAAAACTACATATTTCCATGCAAAAAAAATGGTACCGCTTTCAGCACAAAAAATCGGAAAGAATCATACCGCCAGGGAGGTTAAAAAGTGCTCCCAAACAACGACCCAAAGAAAAAAAAAAACAAAAACGCTACATGTTTTGCTCCAAAAAACAGAGCTTTGTCAGGAGTATAAAGAATTATAATAGGTTACATAGTGGCTGGAAGTTGTGCTCAGGTTCACATCATGGCAAAATGGCACCTATCATTTGTGGCATAGTCACATCCTCTGAGCTACTTTCTGGAACCATATGATAATGCAGGGCCTTCCAATGTAAGTAGCTCCCAGCTGATGTGAGGGGTCTGTATTGTAGTAGACCAAAGGAATGGCATAGTGGGATTTTGAACCCACCTTCCGTACACACAGGAGCAGACAATGCAGGTCTGTGTTGAGCATCTGGGCTGGAAACTGACTCAATCACCTGGCCACTGGATGATCTGTAGCTGTAACATGCTGTCTAGTGCATATGCAAAAGGTACAGCACAGCTGATCAGTTTGAAGAGGGAAATCCCCTTCAAGAATTTAATTTGTAACACAGGCTCATTTATATACATTAGCTATTTAATACCTATGGCAGATAAAATGTTTTTACTTCAAAAGTAAAGTAAATGCTTTACAAGTTGGAGCATGTGGTTATTTTTTTTCACTTACTGTATATGAATGCTAAGAATGTATAACTTTTTAAAAGTTAAAACTATACAGGCAGGTTATTTAAAATTTTTTTTAAATGTACACGTTTAAAGGAATTTTTTGTTTATTTTGTTACTTATGTTAAATCTTAATTCAGTAATTAAATATTATACCCATGGCACTTGTTTTGCAGAACGTTTCAGCTTTTCTAAGGAAGGAGAACAGCAGTAACTTTTTCTTTGTCTCTAATGCAGGCCATACATGGGTTGAATTGGGAATGAATTTTCTTTAGAAAATCAGAAATTTCTTGTGTTTTGTAATCCAATGATAACACCATTGATTTTGAAATTCGACCAACCAAGCCTTTAATTTCACCTCATGTTGCTACAGAAAAGAATTTTCATGCCCAATAATTTTCTTTTCTTTTCAGTTCACAGCTCATGGCTCATTTGTTTTTCAATTATATTTCTCGCATGATTATCCCATCATTGATTAGAAATTCCTTCATTTTTCAAAAAATTTCCAACATGCCCGATCATTCAAACTGGACGGCCGCTTGAAAATAGGCCATTGCTGTGGCCCACTAATGGTGTGAAATTTTAACGAAAATTCTTAGAAAAGATTTTTGAAAGAAAATTCTTTTGGAATTTGACCCGTGGCTTTACTGTATGAACAGAGCATGTGGTGGTAAGGAGGGCTCACTCCTCTGGCTCCTTCAGCTGTGTGTGTAATTTGAGCTTCAGCTCTGAAGAGCTGTAAAAACTATGAGGAGTTTTAATACTTCCTCATTCCATCAAAACATACACTTTATTAATGTTCCTGATGATTTTTTCTTCACTTGCAATATGACTTTTCAAAAAATGTGACTACTCCCACAGAGCCAATGCTGTAGCATAGCCCCCTGTCTCCTCGCATGTCATAGTTATCGCCCCTTCTGGGAGTGTTGAATTACTGTCCGTGCTGACTCTGCATATCTGACCCTCCCCTCCCTATAGCTGTAGGGAGAATACTTCTCTTTCTGTTTCATTCTGATTCTGCAGAAGTTGCACACATCGCATCCAAGAAGCTGTCACCCTGCAGCATCTCATGGCTTTTGGATGTCTACACATGGGAGCTTTTTTATGTAAATGGCATGCATAAAATATTTTAAATTAACATATAAACTTCTGAGAAAATGGTTTGCTGCAATGAATGGTTTGGTGACAACATTTGTCATCATTTGGTCAAAACTGTATCTTTTTCTTTTTTTGCTAAGCCTTAGCCCTTGCAGTTATGGCAATGACGACTGTATTGGGAGTGGGTGGCAAAAATGTAACATATCTAATCTACATTATTAAAACTATTTCTGAAGTATGCACAAAGTTGAACTCTATGACTTCTGGCAAATGTACATTTGGCTGAAGAACAGCAGTGGAAAGATGTACTATATATATGTACAAGGTGGGATTGTAAAATCATCAGTTATTAAAAATCATGGGTAATGTTCAAACTGATATGAACAGGAAGAAGAAAGAGTGTGTGTGTTCTCACTGTTGTAATTTGCTTTTATATCAGCTACTTTATCAACCAAAATACACACAAAACAAAGCACTGATAAGCCATAATAAAATAACTGTATCCACGCAACGCTGATAACTACACATTCATAGCAAACAACTTACAAACTCATTAAAAGTAAACTGCCATTAGTCCTCATGCACACTGGACATTTTTACAGCTGCTGTTTTTGGCTTTTGACGTTTTTTTCTACAGCCAGTAAACTCCCCAGAATGTTATCTTATGTGTCCATGCACACATAGACTGAAATCAACGTTTTTTTGGCAGGGACGTTTTTTGGCTGGAAAAAAAACCCACGAGTAGCAAGTTTGTAGAGGAGTTTTTTAGCTGTAAAAATGCTCTAACACTGAAAAAATGTGGTAAAATGCCGCAAATAGGCGTTTTTGGACTTTTTTGGACTTTTTATACCCCCCACAAACTTTTTTTTTAAAAAAAAGCTAAAAAATGCAAATGCGGAAAAACGCAGCAAAACGCCGCTAAACACTAATGCAAAAACACTAAAAAAAGCTTAAAAACTTGTATTTTTAACGTGACTTTACACAGCTAACGTTACCAGCGTTATCAAAACATACAGTGTGCATGAACACTCAGAGTAACATTGGTGACACATTGGTCACATTGACATTGGTGACCTCTTCTGAAAATGCTAGTTTCCTGGCTGTTAAAGAATACCTAAACCTTCAGCAATTCTCTATGTCTTTTAAAGTATCTGTGAACTCTCACCTTGTAAAACAACCCATTCAGTTTATAATAGAAATGAAAGGCAAAATATTTGTGTATAGGTATAAAAAAAAATTATAAATACATTTTATCCCCTTTTTATAAGTGATCGCATACCCTCTGTTCTCAGCTGCATAAGAGCTGGGGGAGGAGAAACAGCATCACACTGATCTTCCCAGTGAATGGCTGTGCTGGCGGGTAAATGTATCAGCAAAAGCCTGATCATTGGATTAGCTCCCAGCACAGGCAGAAAACTGACCACACTGTTCTCTCATGCCTAGTGCGGTCAGTTTTAAATAGAAAAGCAGAGGAACACCAGGGATTTCACACAATTGAACCAATACAAAGACAACAGGATACCTTTTCATACAAGTACATGGTACAGCAGTCATATGTCAGGGATATGAAATGTTGGGTTTACACATTCTTTAAGGGCCCACAATGAACAAACAATCTATAGCAAAACCAACAAAAACATAAATAGCTTTTAAATAATTTATTTCCTTTTATGATTCATATTCCACTGCTCTACTTTTGCAGGCCCAGGGCAATACTCTGTTGTAGTGGGTCACGTATGCTACCCAACTGCTTTATAACGTGATAACAGAGAGGTTCAGTGGATGGGCCCCAGTCAATTAAATGCTTTGGCCTGCCGTGTGATGTCATCACAGTAAATGGCGTTAGTTTTATGTAGAAATCCAGAGCATATGCAATGTGGCGGCAACACTGCAGGAATAGTATGAGCCTGCAAATCATTTCCACTGCCAACGAGGAGCTCCAATATACTGGAAGGATCAACAGGCAGTTTTTAAGCATGCAAGTAATTTAAAAAATGTGCATAAAAAGTTTTATTTGGCGTGCTTTACTATGTTTTTTGGTTTCGGTTTTAATGACACTTCAGCCTGGGTTCACAGATATGCGGTGTGGTATATCACATGTGATTCACACAGGAACCACACCGCATAACTTTGCAAATCACATGCAATTTATGTGCGGTGCGATTGGAGCCATACATTTTGTATGGCTCTAATTGCATCGCACCAGCACAAAATACGTGCAGGACCCTTTTTTTGGTCCACACTAGAATCAGATTGCATGGGTTTTCACACCTATGCAATCCGATTCTGCACCTCGCATCGTGTTTTGCGGACCGCTTTCGGGATGTTGTTAATTCAACATACACACCCACAGCGGTTTGCATGAATGGAGTGCGATTGTGATGCACTGTGGAATTCGCACAAAAAACGCTGCTAATTCCGCATCGCATCAGTGTGAACAGGGCTAAAGGACTTCTTATAACTCTGACTCCTCTAACCTGCATACTTGTTACAGGTCTGTGGTTTAACCTCCCTGGCGGTATTCCGGAGTGTAGCTTGGGGTTCATTATCAGTGCCAAAAGCGGTAACCCCGAGCTAGACTCCGGATTACCCTGCAGCGTTGCTCTGGGATTCCCTCCAGCACTTACCTTGTCCTGCGCTCCCGCAATGTCCCCCCTGCAGCGTCCCCCAGCTATCTCCTTCGGCTGATGCTGGCTTCTGTCTTCTGGGTTCCGGTCCCTGCGAGCGTCGGGACGTACGGGACATACGGCGGGAAATTTAAAAATTTTAAAAAGTGACATTCACTCAATACACTAAAATCACATAGTAAAACATTACTGTATCAAACCATTTCACATACATTTTGTCCTTAGTGCTTTGTCCTGTGCCCTGCCTGCATTTTTACTGTTCTTTCTGCCTGGAAACTGAGAAACATCCATGGCGTCCAAAAAGCGTCCCTTTAGGTTAAAAGCAGTTTTAGACCAGCTAGAGAACAGGGATAGTAAATTAGAACCACTTGCAGAATTGAGTGATAATGATTCGTGGGGACATTATTTGTGATTGATTTGTATTTGAGATTTTTTTTGGTTGCTTTTTTGCAAGTGGGTTTTGTCCCCTTAAATGGGACTAATTCCGAAATAAAGGATAATGTGGTGTAAAATGGTGAACCCTTTTAGGGGAAAAAACAATCAATAATAGTGATTGGTGCCAACCTTAATAAATACAAAAACAAAACCCACTTGCAAAAAAGCAACCAAAAAAAATCTCAAATGCAAATCAATCACAAATAATGTCCAGTAAACATAAAACATATAACTGTGAATTTCAAACACAATTCATGCACGTGATGAGGTGCATAGGTGGTCTTCACACTTGTGAGATATCCTCAAATAGCAGAAATGCCCCCTCACCTCCAAACCTTGACCACAAGATCCAGCTCGCTTTACAGGATCACACCCCGATCCTTGTAGATACTATCTTGTCACAGGAGAAAGTTGTCGCATAAGCACCCTTCAGCAATACCACTTACTCCTCTCAGGTTCCCTCCAGGCACAGGTACCGCAATACAGCTCACTCCCCACTCAGGATCATATTAGTAAAAAGAAAAAAGATCCTCCATGGTGCAATAACGTTTATTACTCAATATAATACATACAAAACCGACTGCCCACTCACATTTGTTCCATCAGTAAAGAGCATCTAAACCTCATGCTATGGGAGTACTGCATGGGTTTTGTTGGGTGTACCAATATGGCACCCACGCCCAGAAGTGCGTCACCACGTCACCGGAATCTGCGTACCAACGCGTTGCGTCACGTTGTCACGTGACTTCATCAGGGTATCGGGATGTGATCCTGTAAAGCAAGCTGGCCCTTGTGATTGATTTGTATTTGAGAATTTATTTGGTTTTTTTTTGTTTTGCAAGTGGGTTTTGTTTTTGTATTCATTAAGGTTGGCACCAATCACTATTATTGATTGTTTTTTCCCCTAAAAGGGGTTCACCATTTTACACCACATTATCCTTTATTTTGGAATTAGTCCCATTTTGAGGGACATGGGGGGGGGGTTGGCTTTATTATTATTGAGTCACTCAAGGAGTGTGTATTGAAACAGGTTTATTCCTGTATTTTCACTAAGTTTGCACTTTATTTCACTGATGGGATCCTGACTGGATCAGAGCACCTTTTGTGGGTATTATTATATGTATTTGCTTATATTTAATTATATATATAAATTTTATATATTTATTGTATAGCGCTTCACCAATTTATTTATATTTATTTGCACATACCAATTAGGTCAGGTTGGGTGGGATCAGCTTGCACTTAGGAACATCCATATAAGCGCAGGAGGATATATCAACACTTATATGTTTTTAAGCTCAGGAGTGAGTCTACTTAGGTGCCCCCATAGCAAGCTGCTTGCTCTGAGGGCACTTGGCAGGAGGGAGTGGCCAAGAGCCCCAGTGGGGGACTTGCAAAGAGGACTACTAGAGGAGAATCAGGGCTGCTGTGTGCAAAACCACTACACAGAGCAGGTAAGTATGATATGTTTTATTATTGTTAAAAAATGCCATTAATGTCACTTTAAGTTTGGATTATTGAGCACGTTTTAAGTAGCGTCACAGTAATACTAATACATCACATGGGACTTTCACTGGGCTTTATATTTCTTACAGATTTATGTTTGAACTGTTATATAGGGATGCACCAATACCAGTTTTTTATTGGTGAGTATGACTACCGATAGTTTTGGTCAAGTACTCTCTGATATCGATTACCGATACTTTGCGGTGCAATTTGAGTCCATTAACGAAGAATATCATGCGATTTGAACAGGAATGCGATTCCTGTCTAATTCACATGGGGTTTCCCCATTGCTCCTGTGTGAACCCAGGCTTATCATAGCCCAAGTTCACACAGGAGCAGTGCAGGAAACCTCCCTGCAGGCATCCCATGCTGAGTGTCAGTGGTAGGAGAGGAGAGACAGCGGCAGGGATTGAAATCCTCACTGCTTTCTTATCTCTCCTTGCTGCAATGAAAGTTCGGGCTAGATGGCATCTCATTGGTCAGCTGCAGTGGGGAAATTGCATGCGATTTGGACAGGATTCACATTCCTGTTCAAATTGCATGCTAATCTTTGTGGTTTAATTTGCATCCATTAATGCAAATCACACTACAAAGTATCGGTTATGGTATTGGTATCTCATGAAAATACTCGGTGACGGTATTGGTGCATCCCTACTTTTATTTATTGATTTATGTTGTGCTAAATTAAAGTTTTACTAAACCCACAACAGTAAAATTATTTATTTATTATTATTTATTTCAGGTTCTTATATAGAGCGCCGTCAATTTACGCAGCGCTTTACACATATATATATTGAACATTCACCTCAGTCCCTAACCCTCAAGGGGTGTACAATCTAAGGTCCCTAACTTACATTCATACATACAAAATCAGTGTGTATATGCAGCAAAGCATGTTTATTATACTCACTGTGGAACCTGCATTGTGTAAAAAGGCTGTTTGATCCTCACTTCTCTGATCCTCCCCTTCTTCTAATGTCCCCAATCCATCTGCTGATAGTACAGAGCTTTAGGAGTCAGTCTGGACATACTCAATTTAGAGTGTATGACTAGAGAGTCTTTTTTTTTTCCTTTGGGAGAGTGCATGTGATCAGCACAGGACCAATCAGCACAGACAGAGGGTCAGGGGTTTTGCAGCCTTGTAGGACAGTCAGAGCAGAATGAAAACTCCTCCTACAAGTTTTAACCAGTGCTCAGCTGAACACTGATAGAAGTCACATGACTAGAGAGTCTTTTTTTTTCCTTTGGGAGAGTGCATGTGATCAGCACAGGACCAATCAGCACAGACAGAGGGTCAGGGGTTTTGCAGCCTTGTAGGACAGTCAGAGCAGAATGAAAACTCCTCCTACAAGTTTTAACCAGTGCTCAGCTGAACACTGATAGAAGTCACACGACTGCTATATACTGCTGATGAGAAAAGGTATTTAGCAGTTTTATATTTACAAAAATAATAGCACTTCCATGTTGTGTGTACTGTGGGAGACCAGATATGGTGGATGCAGGGTCCTGGGTTTAGTAACACTTTATAGTAGGATACAAACGCAGTTCAATTATTGCACATATTACTTGAGTGTTTAAAGTGGGTAACACTATTTTTGAACTGCAGCTGGGATTTGCTATATTTAATAGAAAAATATACTATGTTCATGGGCAGCACAGTGGCTAAATGGTAACACTTCCACCTGGCAGAACTAGGGTCGTTGGTTCGCATCACAGCCACGGCACCACCTGTCTGGAGTTTGCATGTTCTCCCTGTGCCTGCGTGGGTTTCCTCCGGATACTCTGGTTTCCTCCCACACTCCAAAGACATGCTGGCAGGTTAATTGGATCCTGTCTAATTTGGCCCTAGTATGTGTATGTGTGAATGTAAGTTAGGGACCTTAGATTGTACACCCCTTGAGGGTTAGGGACTGATGTAAATGTACAATATATATATACAGCGCTGCATAAGTTGGCGCTATATAAGTACCTGAAATAAATACATTTAATGAATTCAATTTTAGGGATTAATATTGTTTGGTCACATAGCACCGGTGTTGTATATTTGATTAGCATTACCATAGGTACAGCTGTTGTTTAAAAGAGGAAGTGCTTTTTTAGTGTTATAGATTTTCCTACAGCAGGATATCCTCCCAAATAATAAAAAGATATAAAACAATTTAGTATACACCTTCTGCATATTGGTTTACAATGCCATAGTAATCAAGCCATAGTAATCAAGCATGTACCCTTCAAAAGCACCGACAGATACTCAGTAAGAGCAGTGAGGACACTTTAGGAAACATGATTTCAGATAAAAGATACCTAGAGAACAGGTGTTATGCAGAGCTTACTACAAGAGGAAACACAATAAAGCATGTTAAGGAATGCGATAAGTCTCCAGTGTATGAAAATATCTTTTGTCCCTTTCGACCTAATGACATCAGTACATCGGGTATAACAATGTCATCAGATTTTACACAATTATTATCTCCACCCAGTTATGATAATAAAATGTGTAGCCTTTAGATATATCACACCATGATTCAATAGTCCTGTAAGAAGTCATGTTTATTAAAGTGGAGCTATGAGCAAAATAATAACTGAAATATTGTATATGATGCAGAATGTCAGTGGCATTAACGCAGCAGTGCCTGTAACATAATTTTGTTATCAGTTAATCCTGCCAGTAGATCGTTTTTTTTTTTTTTTGCTGCAAACGTGGCAGATACAATTACAGAAAGTCCCAGTCTCAGCAACTGAATGGTTAAAGAAACT